TAAATAATGCATGAGCGCCAACTTTAACCTAACGAGCTCAGCTCGATTTTCCCCCATGAAAAAAAATGTACTGAAATTTGAATACTTGGCGGCATCACGTTTTCCGACTTTTCTTCTCGTTTCCCTTTCCTCTTTTGTTTGTGCCAATTGCGCTCATTTTCCGCATTTTTTATTATTTTTCCTCTTTATTGGTAATACAATACATTCAATTCTGTTTTTGGCTTTCCTTCAACAAACAGAGCGCGGAAAAAATTCAATTAAATGTAATCGCATCTATTTCCTTCTGCCTCCGTGACTGATTGTTCTAGGACACGAATGCTGGAAAAAATGGAAATTAAAATTGAATAAATAGCTCAATAAACAGGGTCTTTGAAAATAAATGCTAATTTCGCGCTTTTCCTCAAGTTTCCACTAAGAAATGTGGAGAGCCACTTTCTTTTTTATTTCCCTTCACGCATCTTAAGTGGGCAGAGGCACGTGCCAAACCAAATCCTTTTAATGTGTCGCCAAAGTTGGGAAACTCGATATGGGAAGTTGTCAAACAATAAAGGAAAATTTGCTGTTTATGGATTTTTAAAGGGCTTTTGGGAAAATCAAATAAGAAGGGATTGTATATTTGAAAAAAAAACTAAAGGTTAACACAAATATAGGAAAATGTAAGAAGTACCCCAAAATTTGAAAACTGTTCTTAAATAAAAGGTTTAAAAAACAAAACTACTATATAAATTTATTTGTTTATTTCCCATAAACATACCATAAATTAAATTCTATTTAATTCAATTATTAACCTTTTGTTTTCTAGAAAATCATAATAAACAATTAGGCAAAATTCTAAAACTCCAGTAAACCTCTCTGTCGGCAGATCAAATTACGTGGCCAGAAAACTTTCAATTACCATCAGATTCAATTAATAATACAGCATCGCACTAACTACATTTAGCCATCCGGTCGCGTAACCAGCTTAAATGGGGAAAAAACGCTTTCAATTTAGCAAGGACGCTTTGAAATTCAATTAACCTCAAGTGGATGCCACAACGGCAGAGCATTCGCAATGATGAAGGCATAAAACAAAGGCAGACGCTCCTGCGGTGGCATTCACACCTCATCAATGTCAGGCTACAGGATGCAGGATACGGAATGGCATGGGTTGGGGTTGGCTCTGGCGAAGGAACATCCCTTGACTTCAGATGTTTGCCAGCGTTTAGCCCAGTCGATATTGCTGCCAGAGGCTATCGATGGTATATTAAACTTTCACTGCCGGCGGCTTTTGGTGGAAAGCGCTCAGAACTCGGCCTGATTAAGAGCTGAGCAAACAAATCAGGAACCAGCCGAGGCGGATTGTTTGCTTAGCCAGTGTCTAAACACCGCTCTCGACTGTTTTTTAAACTGTTTGCCATGTGTATATCTGCATCGGTGGGAATCAACCCTGGAACTTGTGTAATTAACATTTCAATCCTGCTCATCGAGAAAATGTATCTCTTGCGCTCCAATGCCTATCATGTACCATCCTCCGTTGTCCGCAGACTCCGGGACCAACGAGATAAATAAATAAATTGTCTTTCGGGGCAATTGTTGCTGCTCTTTCGTGTTGACATATGCAAATTTATCACCGCCCACCACAATTCACCAAAGTTTTTTGATTACTTTCGAGCATACGAAGGGAAGGCGGGTATATTCCAGGTTATTTGCCAACATGATGGCGGCTTTTGTACATGGTTCAATCCATCGATTGTTTGCTCCTTGCTGGTTTTATTACCTTTTAGTTGAAATGGAAAATAAATAAAACTTTAAGAACTCGAAAAACTCGTTTTAAGCGTTAAATTAATTAAATTTATAAATACATTTTTATAACTTACAATAGAAATATATATAATACACTTAAACCATATCTAACAATAAACCAAATAAAATAAATAATAAATAAGATTAAGAAAAAGGTATATATATAAATTTATTTATATATTTATAGACTTGCAAGGCATTATTATTTAAGTCAGAAGCTTAAAAGGCAGTGAAGTAGTAATTTCCGACTCTATAAAGTTTATATATTATTGATCAGTATCAAAAGCCGAATCGATATAGCCATGTCCGGAAAAAATAAAATTTTCAAAATATTTTCCATTTTTTTTAATTTTATATAATTTTATATATCGTTAAAATTGTCAAAAATTCGATAATATTTTAAATTTTTAAATTATAAACTGAGCTTGCAGATTTGTTAACTTTATAAAAAATTGAATAGAAAAGCCTTCCGATTGGAAATTAATGCATTTTTGGCTTAGTTATGATTGATCGAATCTGCTAAGGTGTTCAAATTTGGTTTTCCGTAGTTAACTTTTCTTAAATTAACATCAACATTTGCCTAGAATAATTTTAAATATTTTACACAATATATAAACTGAACATTAGTTTTTATTAAAACAATAAGCTTGCTTTGTGTTAATTTTAATTTACTTATCCTTATTTTATAACAAAAAATAACATTTTTTAAAATCTTCTAACACAAAATCGTTCAAATATTTTGTCTAGATCGTAACCAATAATTTCTATAAATACGTTTTTAAATTTCCCGCCATCCTTTAGAAACTAATGAATAATACATTTTAATGAGTTATAATATTATAAGTTATTTATTTTCTTATCAAAATCACATTTGTTTTCCAATTAAATTCAAAACAATACCACAATAAAAACAATTGGCTAATCATAGGGTCTAGATCGATATGGATTGATATGATGTTGCTATGATATTCTTTAGGTTCATTGAGAGATATAATAGCAAGGGAAAGGCATTGAAGCCTCCTCCCAAGCGTTGGCGGATACCAGAATTACGGAATCCTTTGATATCGTGTCCAGGCCACCGATAACTGGATGCCACTCCTGTTGCTGGGGCCACATCTTCGCAAGCTCCGACGGCAGTGTTGCCACAGTGAACGTGCTCCAGGCCAGGGCATCTCTGTTCGCTTTGTGGGGATTCCCCTTTGTGATGCTTTTGCTACTGCTGTTGCTGCTACTTTTCCAGGACTTTCCACCTCCTCACGTCCGATTCCTGGGCGGCGATTGTGGTTTGTGTTTGGCGCCAGTGACGGGGCCTTGGTATTTATAGCTGCCGCCACACGGACGAAGCTTTCCGGGAAACTCACCCCCATCGGATGGGGGAAAACTTTCGAGTTGAGTTTCCCAGCGCCAGAGTGTTGAGTTTCCCCCGCAAGCGAGTGGCAACAATTGTAGCGGCCTAATTGGGTGTATATAGATACATGTTACTGTGGCGCTTAGGTAAACACCATGTCCATGTACTTGTATATATACAAAATCCTGTAGCCTGTGTGTGTTTGTGACCTTATGCACACAAGGACACCGGCGGAAAAGGAGGAGCCAGGACACGAAATAGCAATGGCCGCCATTTGAGTAAATTTTGCTGAGCTTCGCATAAAATTAAATGAAATTTAAATTATGCCCACTCCTTCTGCAAAATAATCCTTTCGAGCCTGCGAGTAAGTGATTAAAGCCATTAACGAAATTATCGGGATTATAGAGATTTGTCCGCATCGAGATGCGGAAACAGGACTTCGCCACGGGTGTCGGCAAGACAATGCCGTTTCCGTAATCCAGGGGCTTCAATTAATGGAGTGTCGCCCAAAAAAATAAAGGGGTTGCTCTGATGGGAGCAGGAGAAGTCGCTGACACCCCAAAAGGGGTGGCTGACTGACAGAGTTTTTATTTCAATTCATTTGCTTCTTTTTTAACAGTGCACACAGTCTACTGACGTCAATGGTCTATATTTGTTCCAGCCAGAAATAGTTTGCCCCGTCAAGGACGTTCGTTTATGAGCTTTAAGCCATTTCTTCTTTTTTGCGACGTACAAATGATAAACTATTTTTAGAATATCGCATTTCTGTGCAGAAAAATATACAAAATGTTATAGACGAAAATGAGCAAATGTTTCCAGAGTCACTAAAACCTATGCAAAATAAATAATGAATTTTTATTGAAGGACATAAACTTAGACAATTTATAATAAAATATTTTTAAATGTTAGATAGTAAATGGATATTTTAATATTAAAGTATTTATTTATTTATTATTAAAATACATGCATAAATAAGTTAATAAAGTGCACAATAATCCCCCAAGATAATTGCACAAATTCTTTCAAAATAAATTCTAAAGAAAGCAAAATAATAAGTAATGCTTACATATACTTACTTGTTAAGTAAAGATGGCTTTGAAAAATATACAAAATCATCAGTGAAATACAAATTTTTTGTAAATCACAATGAAAGGAATAAACAATCCGTACAAGAAGATCATCAAAAAGAATAAGCCTCCACAAAATGATATAAAAGGAGAAGAGAACTCCGTTGAAGAAGCACCAAAAGTTAGCAATGTGAGTAAGGTAACCGCTGAAGAAAACCTAAGATTACTTAAATCTAAAAAGAGGAGTTAGTGAATAAACAAACGTACAATTTACCTGATTCAATAAGAGACAGTGGAGAAGCTGAGAAACAAGGATCCATAACTTTACCTGAGGAAGGACACAATATTGACAATGGAAATGAAGAGAAATTTAAATTCAAAGAAACCAAAGGTCTTACCCATATTGGATCGAGCTTAGATAGCTCTTTGGAATCTATTCCTACAGATTCAAGTGATAGTTCCGATACAAGTGAGGACCTTCTAGACGATGAAAAAGATTACTTAAAGTCTAAAATGAAGAGGCATATGAATACCGCAGATGTGGAGGAAAAGTTTAGGAGGCATTTCCTAAAGAGTTTTCAAGGAATGCCAAGATTATCGCAAATCTCATTGACTGAACATTCAAGTAACGTAAAAGATGGTCAAGAAAAACTACAAAATATTCAAGAGCTGAACGATGAGGAGGAAAAGGGAACATCCTTGGAAACATCAAAAAATAAAACTGAAGAAAAAGAAATGGCATTGCCATCCAAAGTGAATATTGTTGACCATTTAAGTGAAGAACATGAAAGCTCAGAAGAACACTAAAAATTAAGAGAATATACATGAACATTTTTGAAAGCTATTGTATCAGGATATATTGTTCGCTTATCGTTATTGTTAATTTCCAAATTTAAAAAATCATGCATACATCTAAGACAGGTGCTAAAAGCTTTTCCAGCAGAAGAATGATATATGTATAATGAATATTTTTCCAGGAAAATCCCAAAATGTACCTCCCTTTTTTCGTCTGATCATTGCCAAGCAACCGGAGGGGAGAAATGCCTGCCTGCCAAACATCCTGAGAAATTTTCGGACAACTTCATGACGCTAAATTAACTAGCAGACATTTCTATTAGCTCTGTGGAATGAATACCAAGGCAATTTACGCTTAATATATGCATGATGCTGTCCGCTTGATAACACTCGAAGTTTGGCACTGCCAGGGGATGAAGAGGGTCCAGGGGATGGGGATGTGTGGGTGTAGATGTGGGTGGTAGTTGGTGTGTGGCGGTCCTTACAGGTTGTTGGGACAACGGTGCCGCCCCTGTTTATTGCTATCTATCCATATCTAAGGACGGCACGTGGAAAAGTTCCGTTCGTTTAACTTTGGCATTCGGCTGAAAATGAATTTAATGACTTGGAAATGGCCACCGACTGATTTTGAATTTTAATTCCAGAGAACGTCCTTTGAAGCGTGCAGCAAGTCACGAAATCATTACATTAAAACAATTTGATATAATAGAAATAAAACAGGTTCATAATCATGGGTTTAAAACAGATTTACAAAGAAATAGGTTTCTACCTTTTTTGATAATATTTAAGTAAATAATTTATTAAATTCGAGAAATTATAACTGGTCTCCATCCTTTATATTTATGTCATCTAAATTATAACTAAAATATCTTCAGTTTTCCCATACAATCAAATCAACATGAAATCCGAAACACATCAAAATAATCGGCTAAAATCAATGGCTTCCCCTGGGAAGGTAATTTGTATACTGCTGTTTGTCGTACTCCCAGTGCAAAAAACGGAAGGGTATTTAATATCTTTTGCCAGGGAATATCTTATGCCCGGCAAAAATGCAACAGCCCGACAAGCAGGAGATCTGGAATCTGAGGAAAACAATTGCCGGCAGTCTGAGGGAACTCCCAAAGTACCTTTTCACACATGAGCGCGCCGGGCTCAGGACATTACAAAAAAAAGGGAAAACAGGAAACTAACTTTGAGATGACGATGCTTATATACCCTTACAGTATATCGAATCAGAAATCTATAATAAGAAAGCTTAATACATTTTCATTTTTTTACTCTATATATGGGAAAAATTTTATGACAATTTTTTCGATAAATCAAAGTTTAAAAATCCGATAACTAAGCCAAAATAAACATTAATTTTAATTCGGAAAGCTGTTCTATGTTAGTTTTTATTAGGTTAATAAATCTACATACTCAATTTATAATTTTAAGGTATTCAAATTTTTGCCAATTTTTCAGATGCCAATTTTAACGATTTTACCCCTTAAAAATTCTCAAAATTTTGAAAAAAATTAATTTTAACCGAACATAGCTAGATCGATTTGGCGTTTGATGCTGATCAAGAATACATAGGATTTATAGGGTCGGAAATGATTCCTTCACTACGTTTTAACCCTCTGACTAAAGTTATAATACCCTGGAAAGGGTAAAAAAGTAACAGACGTTTCTGTGGAGGAGGATATAGAACCCAAAGGATCAGCCTCAGCCTCCCCCAATTTCAGTTGTTGTAAATCACAAAGTGAAACCGAAACCGTTAACGTGTTGCGGTTACGCTCCTGACTTTGCTGTGTTGCACAAAAAAAAAAGAAAAAATAAAAAACGAGGCAAAGAAAAAATCCTGAAATAGAAGGGAGAACTGAGGCAAGTCATTCCATTTGTGAGACTTTATTAAATGGGAACTGAGCGGGGGCAACGTCCTGCCTGTGTCCTGTCCTGGCTTTTATTGCGATTTTTTCGCAAATGTTTAGAGGGGTCCATGTGTGTGAGTTTATCAAACTCCTTACATTTGTTTTCCCGGCCATACAGGGCCATCTCGCTTCCCCAAGCAAACTTTTTCTTATTTAATGATTGCTTTCACAGAGAGAAAGCTGAATCGATGGGGGGAAAGCGAGCTGGTTTCGCATTTCAACTTGAGAAATGTGAAATTGTTCCAGTTTCCTTATTTTTGCCCTTCCGAAGATTTGTCAAATCTTTGACACAATGATGCATAACGTTATCTGAGATTTGCCGGCTGAGAGAAAAAAAGGAAAAAACAACAATAACAACAATCGACTTTGCGAATTAATCTTCTTAATGTTTGTGACTTGTAACCATGGGCACTAATAGGATGCTTAGACCCAGGGAATCACTTAATGCGATTGCCAAAGTGAAGAGTTTTTGGGGGTAAATTCTGTAAAATATTTTTGCTAATTGCTGGAACTCGTTAGAGATGCAGATGCACCTTCCACTGGGTATCCCATGGTGCCTAAAGGGCACTAGATGGTCTCATAATCGCATCAGGTTCCGCACGATTTAACAGCAACGCAATTCGGACGAGACTCAGACCAATTCCAGACCGTTGGCAACGCAACCATTGTCTGCTCTTGCATTTCCATCTAACGCTTGATTTTTACACTAAACAATATTTTTAGGTACAATTTTAGATACAAGATACAAAATTAAATTCAAATTATATCAGATATATCTATTTATTATAACTAGACAAAAACAGGCAAATCTATAAAGGTTCTTAAAAAAACTTACCCAAATACTTTTATACACTTTTATTATAGGTACAATTAATAAAAAAACATAATAGATTTTGAAATAATGTTAATGTTAAAAATCTTTAATATTACATTATTTTTTATAAACATTTTTATTTCCTGTGCCCCGAACTTCATTTTATTTTGCTCAACACTTTTTTGGCCTCGCATTGATTGCTCCACAATTGCGCAATTTCGTTCACTAAAAGCATTTCAAAAATACAGCACAATACTGCTCAATGTAACGGGAAGGAGGAGAGCAGGAGAAGGAGCCTGAGCAGGAGCAGGACCAGGAGCAGGAGTGGCTTCTTGTGTGCCCGCTGCCATGACGCAAAAGCTTCGATAAAAACTGTTGTTCGATAAGCATTTTGTTTGCAATGCGATGGGAGTTGTTATGGAGTCTGTGCCTCCAGACCCAAGTCATGAACTCTTGTGGTTATTCTGGGGACACGAGTCGTTTGAGGAAGCCATAACGAATCACTATTTAATGTGGAACTTGGAAAAGTTTCTTGGAATTGTTTGCCATTGTAAGGAAAGCCTGGGAGGAGAAGAAATCAATCATACGCAGCGTTGACATTTGCTAACTTGGAAATTGAGACTTGTAAGTTATTTATATATTTAAAATATAGGAATTATAGTACATTAATCATTTCTGTAATTCCAACTGCAAAGATAATTTATTTCAAACCCGATTTACTTTAAACCCCAAGCATCTCCTACGCCTTAGGTGCCCTCATAAGTATGCTATAATTTGTGCGAAGTAAACTTCCTCTGCCGTTTGCTTGAATGTTCATCGGCTTAGTCATCTCTCCTTCCCTGTCAACACTCCCTCACATCGGCAAATACACATGATATTCATTATGAACGGCTTAAGCGATTTCCCCAGGGCCGCACTAAGCCTCTTCCGCAGATATATATGTATATATATAAACACACATCGAGACACTCATGCATATGCACAGATATATTTCGAGTTTTTCGCATTTATTTTTTTCATGAAAGTCTTTTGAATGGAATCCGATTTGACGAGAATACTCGTCAGCAAATTGGCAGCTCAACCAAAAAAATAATGAAAAGAAGTACGGGAAGCAGGAGATCCAATTCTCAACCTGATTGTTGGCCACATCAATCACAGCCGACCAGCCAGCCAACCGCCCCTTGTCATGTTTTACATGCTAGCAAAAAATAACCAGCGGAAAACATGGAAATAATAATTAAGGGACATAAGCAAGCGTTCGCTGTGCTAATGAAAATAATCTGTCATCAAAGGCAAAAAGCCACCCCATTGTAAGCGAACAGGTGCTCCCGTATCCTGGCCACGCCCCCCGATGTATATATATGATTACATTGGGCTGCCAACTATTAACTCAGCATAAATTGTGGGTGTACCTTTGGGGGGTGGAAGGGTTGAAGGGCAGGAAGGTCAAAAGGTCGGCAGGCGACTGCCGGACGGTAATTGCATTGCCGTCCGAAATCAGATAAGATTCACCGACGACAACGGTCTCTTCTTTCACCAGGATATGACATTAAAAGCGCATCACAGACGGAAGGAGAACAGAGCTAGGCATCAGCAGCGGAAACTGTTGCCGTAATTACATTCGAAGCGGAAAGGAAAAAAAGATTGAAATGGAAATTGATAATAACGAATTACTCTTACTCTCTGTTTACCATTATAGGATAAAATAATTAATAAATATTAATATAACGTGCTTTTATATACTTAAATCGAGAGTCGAATATAGACTTGATTACACACATATCATTTTGTCAGAAGACAAATATCAAAGGTGTTTTTACAGTCTTTGTAATGAATAAATAAATCTAAAATTGAGTTGAGTTATGAATAAGTTTATGTATTAGTATTAAAAAATAGTATAAATATTATCAAATCCCTAAACGAAAACTACCCTGCTACCCTATATCCTCTCATCCAATAAAGAGCTCATTGCTGGTCATTTGCGCTCTCCTTTGACCCCAAAGGCTCAGCTTTGATTCGGTCTTTGTTTGCGCCATTAAATTAAATATCCTCGCCCTGTCGCTCGACCTCTGACTGAGTTTGCTCATCTCGGCTGCCCAAAGACGACAATGCCGACAATTTCAGTCATTTCCTTAATAGAAATCTTATCTTTGTGACGCCTTCGCCTTCGTGTGCCTAAGCCGGATATCGCACCTTTGACATCTGTCGTGTGAACGCCTGGTAGAGCAACTCGGTGCTGAACAGTCACAGAACACTTTTTGTCAGCTTTTTAGGAAAATTAGTATTTCCGTAAAATTGTATACTATAAAGTAATAAGACAAAAATAGATTATATTTACAAACACCATGAACAACAACTGCTGCTGTACTCAAACGGAGGAGTGTAACCAGTGCCAGTCCGGTGAAGACCAGAAGAAGGGTTCACTACTTCACATGGTTGTGGGTCCGTTTCCCGATGAGGTATTCATGAATATTTTGGATGGCATCATACTTTTATGGGGTGCCATCAAAATAAAGAACATGGGTAATGTGCAGAACTCGGGTAAGTGTATTCCATTATTTCAAAATCAAATAGATTTACAATTATAATCAATATATTAGATAGATTAATAAAATCTCTATTTAATTTTGTAGAACCTGTTACCAAGGAAAAATCCTGCCTTCCTCCACATTCTTCCTCTCCTCAATCGTCTTGCCCTCCTCTACCGTCTTGCACTCCAACGTATAGCTGCTCAACCTGCTCCTTGGGTCGGGTCAGCTCCTTTCACACTATATGTTGTTCGTCGTCTCCCAGCAAGCCGAATGACTGTAAAGAAAGGGATTCAACGGTGACCAGCAGTCCAAAGTCGGTGTGCTTTAAAGGTTCGAATCGTATAAGCGCCGCCGCAAATTGTCCTCGGCAGCTTTCTGCTCGTGTGGACTTTAAACATCCGGCAGATGATATTCGCAAGCAACAGAGTGCCGGTGGTCCATCGATGAAGGAGCGATTGATGCAGGCTGAAATTGTCTGTTCCGCCGCCTGTGACGCTTTAAAAACTCGCCTTAAGCCCAAGAAGAGTCCAGAAGTGAGTGCAAAGGTCAAAAATGGCTCTGGACCAAACTGATACGCACCAAGAACGGCTGTCAGGTGTATGAAGTATACAAGGACTCGAATGCCAATTGCTCGCCATCCAAAATCGGCTCTAAGACTCCGGCCATGGTCTTTTTGGTCTTGCGAAATGGGCATATCATGCCCTTTGAGTCGATTAAAACAGTATAAAGTCGATAATATTGATAAAATTATAAAAATTGTATCGTCTCTTAATATATTTAATCAACTCGGAAGCTTTTTCATGATTTAAACAACACATTTTTAAATTGAAATGGAATTACGATATTAGCAATAAATATCACAAGTTTTTGGCTAATATCAAAAAATTAGGCTACTCGTATACGCTTTTTAAGCATAATAAAGACAATTCCGGCACTTACAAACATATATGCGGATAGTATAACCACACACTCGATATCATTCCGGTTTCCTGGATTCAAAACCAAATTAACCAGCCCAGTGAGGAAGTTGGACAGCATAAAGTGCGTCAGACCATTCATGTTGAGGCTTTCAACAAAGGTGGGTAGGGATTGGCTGGTTACCTTGTCGCCATCTCCAATCAATTTCTGGTTACCAACTTGTTTAAGTTCAAAGAAAAATGCATATATAACAATCAAGCTCAAACAGATGCCGAATATCCAGATCACATAGCCAAAGCTGAAGGTTACACGAGCAATCCCTGTTAAGAAGGCGCTACTAAAAGCTAGTATCCAACAGAAAACTGCCGCAACTAGGAGTTTTTTCAACTTGCTGGCCAACTCTTGGTAACTAAGATGATCCTGGGCTGTGTACCACTTGGATAGGTAAATACTAAGCAAATAGAGAGCCACGCAGCCGTGTAGGGAGCTTAAACCTTCTCGATTGGCACTAAAGTAACCATCATGTGGGGCAGACGACATCACAAACTCGGAAAGGCCCAGCTGCAGCACAAGTTCGTGCAGGAAAAGCAAGCCTAAAAATAGACAAGTTATTAAATTTCCTCAAACAATTAATTAAGTACTTACCCAAAGCTAGAGGCAGGAGATGTTTATCCGACTTCACCAACAGAGTGTAGAAGCTGCCTATCAATTTGGTAAGGCCCAAGATAAAGAAAGCATTCAAATGCTTGCCATATTCTGTCTTATCCTGATGATAGTCAATCGCTGTGATGACAATGGTCCGGGCTAGGCCTAAGACCAGCAATGGAACCACCGATCTGGGTAGTTTTCTTAGATCAGCAAGACCCTTGGCACGATTTGAAACCAAACCCATGGTAACCACGAACATACCGATGCCCATGTCCATTGCACTGGCTCCAAACTTCCTGCTCTTGCGGTATTCAAGGGGACAAGAATAGAATCCACGGCAAGAATGGCGGCACAGGTTCCATTATAAGCGGTGGCTCTCAGCAGAGTAAACACAATAGGCCGTTTACCGACCTCGTATTTGGCCTTCAGAGAAGAATCGCCGTCTGCATTTGCGTAAAGATAAACCAAAATAACTATGAAGACCACCAGGGAATAGGTGGTGTTATAGTCACTGCCGACGGTGATCAGAACCACAGTGGGTATGCCAATAAAGATGAACTCCAGCAGGAATCTTCGCGCGGAATGCTGTGGCAGGTGGCCGCAAAGTAGTCGCGAGAGGATGAAACCCAAAAATGAGGGCCATATTGCCAAGAAACTATAGACACTATTCGTGACGGACCACCAGGATTTCAGGTCCACGCTGGATTCGTCGGAGTCACTAGTAATAAGGGGATTAGGGATCTCCACTTCCATTTTTTGGATCTGTCAATGGGTTATGTTTAGAGCAAAAATAACACTGGTTTCGAGTATAAAGTTACTTACTGCCCACGGAGGTGGAAGTTTTATTTTGCCTTCCCGTACTTGACGGATACAATGTTAAATTAATTCTGCCGGCAAACAAAAAGTAAACAATATTAAAGGTACGACCGTGGCCGGATAGTTTATAAATATACCATGTGTCATAATCTAATGTATCACACGGTCACACTGCGCAAAGTACGTTATTTGCTTTCGTAAATAAAGAAATTGTAGAGCTTTAAACTCGTTAAATTTTAATATTCCAATTTCATTTCAATATCTATTTGTTAACTGTGAATTTTCAATATTAAATTAAAAACAGATTCTACAGGAATCTTCCAATTACTTTTAATAATACCGATTTATTTTGGATCTGGCAAAAAAGCAAAATAAATGCATTAAATCACAATTAGGGAAAGCTACTACAGTTCGTTGTGCTGCGGTGTTATGGATGGATTTTGGGGCTTTTCCTGAGGGAATTCATTGTGGGATCTAACTTCCTTGGCTGCCTCAGCGACGAGATGTACGAATTCATCCACATCGAAGCTATAGTTTGTGAACTTGGCGTGTGCCCCGCCCTCGGGATGATGTCCCTCATCCTGCGGATGGACTAGATCCCGCTGCTCCCATGTGCGGTACCGAACGCCTCGCAGCCTAGCTAAATCCTTGTAGCAGTTCGGATCCTCACAATTGTACAGCTCAAAGATGCAGGCCCAGTTGGGTAGGAAGAGCAAGTGGGTCAGGCCAGCGCCATGCATGCCTATGAGTATGTCTGTGTTCCGGGTTATAGACAACTGATCTGTGAAAGAGAGCCTGCAAGGATATACATTTTGTAGTAAAAAGTGAAAAATACAAGTATTGAATTACCTCTCGTAGGAAACGCGCTGCACGGAATAGTCTTCGTTATCCTCCAGACGACCCAGCAGCTCCTCTTCGTTGAGCACTTGCCTGTACTTGGTCCGACGCGATAGATAAGTAATACGGACTTTACGCTGAGGCGGCTGGTACGGAATCTGAAGACGGTGTAAGATGAACTCCGAAAAAGCTCGGAACAGTCCACTGTTTGAACAGCCTTGGATCTACAATGAATTACTAGTCAGATAAAGATTTAAAGCTCATCTTCCCTTACTTACGATAGGCGTATTGTAAAACAATCCAAAGATCATCCTGGGCAACAGCGGAAGGACCACATTCTTGAAGCACACCCTCTTGCCTTCCACATCGCTCAGTGTCCATACCGGTCTCTGCGAGAAGGCCTTGAACGTGTCCTTAAACGGCGAATCATACGGATAGGTTTCCCAAATAAGGATCTGCACGTCGGTGTTGAAGGCCGCTGGATGCGATTGATTCACAAAGAGCGAGGCATACAGGTTGAAAAAGTCGCAGAAGTGATGGTACATGTTGTACGTGGCATCGATTTTCATAATGAAAGTGGGCGTATTCACAACGAGATCACAGAGCCCGCTCTCTAGTATTTGATGAGGTAAGACGTCTAAGTTGCGCAGCTCTGGACCCCAGGATTGCAGTGCTGATCCAATGTGATCCATTTCACCGGTGAGCCTGGTGCGATTCAATTCGCAGTGGGCCAGCAGTTGACCCGGTTTTAGAACATCCATGTGGTAACGGATGCGCTCTTCCCGCTGCGCCAAGTCCCTGAAGTCGAAGAGCAGGTGCCTGCCGCGACAGAAGCGCAGGTAGTGGGTGCACTCAAGCGATGAGTCGCCCAGATAGGTGGGCACACACTGCGGTGCCAGCTCAGACAACTGCTCCTGTATGTAGCCGAAGTCCGCCTGCTGGTAGAAGGTCTTCACCTGGGCCTCCTTGCTCCTGGCCCAGCCAGTGTGATCTCCAGGGCACTGTGGCGTCTGAAAGCGGCCATCCGACGTGCAATCTCGTTCGTGGCCCCAGCAGGCCGATGAGATGGTGGCCTTGCCAGTGAGATTCGATGGCAGCTGCTGCTTCAGCTTGGGAAACGTGTTAAGGTAGCGGATAAGGTGCTCGGACGGCAGGTTGGGCAAGGTCAACTCGCCTCCCAGGTGCTTGGCATCTTCCGGACGGTGAGCTTGGCTCGGGAACAGGGAGAGCAAAATCCCCGTGAGTATTAGAAGGATTGGCAGCATTTCAGTCGAGTTGTGTTTAAGTACTTCGTTGCAATACGCGATTTTCCCGGCGATTTCTCACGCTTTCACAGCCGCAGCGAGCGCAGCATCTTCAGGTGCATTTCACGGCCAGCGATGATGATCTCACCTTGCCTTAAGCGGCTGAAAGATGATTATGAGCGGAGTTAATGGTAATTGTCCATTTTAATTGTTTGCGAAGAACGCCGGAAAACCTGTCTCCGGCAGTGTGACCAAATCCACCTGTCGCATTAAGATCCCACACACTAGTTGGTGCGATATTTTCCAAACAGACGTACTGTGCTCTCTCTAATGAGTGAACAATTTTGTTTATCGAAAATGTAGACATTGAGAATGACTTTCAAATAATTTTCCAAGTATTATCTTATCTATAATTAAAAGCTAACATTGTGCCTTTTGCATTACGTTTATTTTCTTCTATTTAATTTTAATTCAAATTCGATTTGAACTGCGCGCGCATTTACTAGAGCTTTGTAAAAAATCCTGCCATTTAGGTCTTCCTCTCTGGTCACACTTCGCTGCAGAAAACAGCTGTTAGAAGCATTTGACTTTTTTTGACTTTGGTACATTTTTCGTTGGGCGCAAAACTAAAGCGCAGAAAAAGTTAAGAATGCGGAATGTGCCGAAATCGTAAGTGGAGAATTATTGAAAACAGCACACAGACTTGCGGGAATAATCAATTGTCCCATTGGCAGACTCGGTCTCTCGGTCACAACACCAGGCGGCAGTTCTGGGGCCCCGGACAGCGGTCGCCACAACAGCTTGGAGGATATCAATCTGGACCAGTTCCTGAAGACGTCCAACTACGAGGACACAGTGAAGCAGTTGGACATCTACTATGGCATCGGTGAGGATGGGGAGGATCGTTTTGAGGGCTTTATATAACCTTGGGCAGCCAATTGAGCACCAATTAATCGCTGTGGCGTCTGTCTATTAATAATCATCGCGAAATGTCGACGCCTGACGCTTGCGCTTGATTGTAAACAGATTCGTTTGTTTATTTGCATTGCCCATCGACACATTTTTGCCATTATGCGATAACCGGCAATTCTAACACTTTCCCCCAATCCCACACAGTCAAGCGACAGTTGTTGCGCTACCAGAGCCCCATAACTGGATTGTTCCCGGTGATGAGCACCGACCAGGTAGTAGGATCGGTGCGAGACAGTGTCTACTGTGCTTCCGCAGTGTGGAGCTTGTACCAGGCCTACAGACGCATCGACGACGACCGCGGCAAGTCCTATGAGCTGGGTCAGAGCACGGTGAAGTGTATGCGCGGCATCCTTGAGTGCTGGGTGAAGCAGGCGTCGCGCGTGGAGCTCTTCAAACAGCGCCAGTCCAACCAGCACGCCCTCCACAGCAAGTTCCAGTTGCACACCGGGGAGAAGATCTATCCGGATGAGTTTTACAACCATTTGCAGATCGACTGCGTCAGTTGAAGCTGATTATTGCATTGATTGAGTCAAGATTTTCATATATTTCCTTCCCTCAGGTATCTCTCTATCTGTTGTTCCTTGTCCAGATGATAACCTCTGGCCTGCAGATTATCTACACCCACGACGAGGTGGCCTTTGTCCAGAATCTGGTCTACTACGTGGAGCGTGCGTATCGAACGCCCGACTTTGGTATGTGGGAGCGTGGATCCAAGTACAACAATGGCACCCCCGAGATCCACGCCTCCTCCATTGGCATGGCCAAGTCCGCCTTGGAGGCCATCAACGGCTGCAACTTGTTCGGCGAGAAGGGAGCCTCGTGGAGCGTTGTTTATGTAGATATTGATGCCCACAACCGCAATCGTAGTATTTTCGAAACCATGCTGCCCAGAGAATCGAGCTCAAAGGTGAGTTAACTGACGGTTTCCCTTTGAAATTAAGATTAACTTAAATACGGTGACCTCTTATCTTCAGGGCGTAGATGCCTCACTGCTGCTTACGCTCTCCTTTCCGGCGTTTGCCTCGCACGAGGATCGGTTGGTGGAGCAGACCAAACAAAACGTTGTGAATCGTTTGCGTAGCAAAATGGGCTTCAAACGCTTCACCCGCGACGGTTTCCTTAGCAAAAATGAGGACAAAACCCGTCGCTACTATCACTCTGGGGAGCTAAAGGAATTCGAGGGCCTAGAATGCGAATGGCCGCTCTTCTTCATAGCCATGATCATCGATGGCGTCTTCAAGAACAACAACGAACAGATCGAGGAGTTTCAGAACGATCTTCGCCGCTGTTTACGCACTGATGCCAATGGAGACCCGGTGGTGACCATGTACTATGCACCAGACGGCGAAGGTTCCTACATGCGCGCCCCTTCGCAATCGCTGTTCCTCTGGGGGCAATCTTTCTTCATCATTGCCCAGCTGCTTACCGCCGGGCTGCTGCACATCAACGAATTGGATCCGATTCGTCGTTACCTGCCAAGTTATAATCGTCCCAGGAGGGCGGGTCGCTATTCGGCTTTCCAGGTGAGTTGGTTTCTAGAGATCTAAGGGGGTTTAGGCGCTATGAAATGAAAAATGTTATTTAAACTGAAATTCGAAGGAAAAGCTCTAAAGTTTGAAGTAATTTTAGTCATACTGAGAGCATTTGGCTAAAACAGTCAACTATTTGCGTACGAGATCAGTTCCAACTTTTCCCAAATCTAAGAAGTTTGCAAAAATTAAATAGTAACTCATTTCATAGCGTCGGGGTTATGAAAGGGTTTCCAACTTGCCTAATTGGGGGTCTCCGCTGCTGATGACGCTTCTGCCGCTGATGATGATGAGTCTTGTGTGTCTGCCATGTGTGTCTGCGTTCGCTTCCAATTGGTATCCCTTACACATAAGTATTCTGTGGCCGTAGTACTCTGTCCGTATGGGTTAAGTGAATAATTGGCTCTTGATATTTAATTCTATCTACATTCTGTTCATTCTCTACTACCAACCACTACCACATTCTACTGCTACATCCATCTATCTACCCAAAATGACAAAACAAAACCCCAAATCGTTTACATATTAATTGGTTTCGTAACATAACAGGGCAAAGCTATTGATGAAAAACACAAAGTAAGTAGATGTTCTGCTTTACCAACAAAATTATTATCGATATATCTAAATTCAAAATTATATAGAAACTCGAAATTAAACCCACTCCCATGTGTATATAAATTAAATTATGCTTTTTAGACACAGACACTGCGCACCAAAAAAGATCACTTACTTAGTTAACTTTTTGTGGCTTGGCAAGACACAACACCACTGATCGAAGAGATGTAACTATGACACACACTCTTGATGATCAGTAAACACACACACACACCAACATTATATAGAAATGATTATTTGCTTATATTCTTAGTGATATTATTATTTCTGTTTCCTCCCCCATGTTATTTGTATGTATATAGCGAGCAAATTCCTTTTTGGTATCTAAATCAAAAGTTTTCTCTTTACTCTTTTCGGTTTTCTTTCTTTTCTCTATATACACCTATCAATATACTGCATATTTTGTTTAAAAAATCAACATAAACCTACACGCTCTATATAGGCTAAACCGGGCACTGTAAGTAATTTGGGTTTCTTTACGTGTATGTAGTTCTCAGTTTCTAACTATTAATGTACGTAACCAAAAGGCCATAGAACGATCAAGCTTGATTTGGCTTCAAATGTTGTCCTTACAAAGGTGTTAACACTGGGAATGTTGAAGTTCGAATTGGCCTAGAAATATCCCCAATAACGATCACACCTCCTTCAGTGCAACAAACATCCTTTACTAGAAGTGTTTGCTTTAAATTGATAAATGCCGAAAGACAGCAGCTTTGCTTGAGCCCTAACAGAACTACTAAATAATCAAATGCCATTGCTTAATATACATATTTTCCTCTGCTAAATAATCAACATTGTCCATAAAAAAAGAAACCACGCATTCCTCTTATATTGGATGACAAGAAGAAGGTAATTTGTGGTCTGGGCTGGGATTTTAATTTCATTTAGGGCCAAGAATTGGCAAGATCAGAGTAAACCAAAAGAATTCCATGCTACAAAACAAACAATAATGCACTTAATCTAATGGTAAATCTATCCTAGGGATGTACATTAAGACTCCTATTCTAAATTTATAGCTAAATCTTTTCCAAATTCTGTTGTAACCTATTTCAAAATTCTAGTTTGACTTGATGCATAGTCAGATCTCTGTGTTTGTCTTAAATAACCCATGTTTGGCATGTTAATATTTATAATATTCTTGAGTTTTTCCCTTTATATATTCCTCTAAGATTCCACTTTATCTGAACTTATATGCTAGTATCCCCTTTCCAATCCGCTTCCCACATCCCTTATAATAATTCCACTTTTGTGTGTTTTTGCATTTTGGCATTTGGCTAGTGAAAATTTTCTTGTTATGTGATTAAATCCAAGAAACTTGAATTGGCCTCATGCATCCTAACATGTTTAATCCATCCGTAGGAAGTTGTTCTATTGGTAATCAAGCTTTCCTAATCCTTACAGGGCACTGCCACAGATCTTGTGGTACAGATCGTTCTGATTGCCGAGTCTATGCGACTGCAGGCTATGATGGCCACTTATGGCATTCAAACCCAGACACCACATGAGGTAAGTTGTATTCTCTAATGTAAGAAACATTGTAATAAACCTTTGTTTTTCCCAGGTGGAGCCTGTGCAAATCTGGAGCTCCACGGAGCTCATTAAAGTCTATCAACATTTGGGAGTCAATAACAAGGTTGGCCTCTCCGGTCGTCCTTCGAGACCTGTGGGATCGCTGGGCACCAGCAAGGTGTATCGCATCTGCGGCATGACCGTCCTTTGCTACCCACTTATCTTTGAGGTCTCAGACTTTTACCTCTACCGGGACATGGCTTTACTGATCGATGATATCAAGACGGAGCTGCAGTTCGTAGGCAAGTACTGGCGCTTGTCGGGCAGGCCCACAGTATGTCTGCTCATCCGGGAGGAGCACATGCGGGATCCGCAGTTCAAGGAGATGCTCGACCTCTTGGCCATGCTTAAGAAGGGCTACTGTGATGGCATGAAGGTGCGCATCGGTCGCCTGCAGAATCTGATTAGCAGCTCCTGCATTGAGCATCTGGATTTCATGAACCAGAGCGATCTGACCGACAACGAGAACGCATTCTCGCAGATAAATCATGAGTATATCGGATACCAATCACTGACGGATGTGCCCAAAGCATTGACCTATGTAGAGGAGAAAGTTTCTGTGGCGGTTAGTATGTTCATTTTACCAAAAAAGGAGATTTTCCTTGAATACCTGTTTTGTATTTCAGCACTTCGATAAACAACCCACGCCGGATATCATAACTGCTTTGCGGAACACCGATTCCATCTACTGCCTGTGCCAGCTGTGGGGCATTCTCCTCAATCGAGAAGGTCCCCATTTCGAGGTGAATGGGCTGAATGTAAACACGGCTTTGACGCAACTCTACCATCGTGCTGGCTCCCTGCGCTACTGGCGTGCCGTCCGGTACTGCTCCTCGCTCCTCCATCACATTGTGGACTCAATCAGTCCATTTATTACCACGGTGCTGGTAAATGGCAAGGAACTCACCGTGGGCATCATTGGTCAGAAGGAGACGGTCTTTGACAAGCCCATGACGCCAGCTGAGATCCAGAACGTGATGTACACGAGTGTGCAGCCCTACGATGTTATCCAGGCAGTACTACAGCAGGAAGTGGTTCTATATTGTGGTCGCTTAATAGCCACCAATCCATCCATGTTCCGCGGCATACTGAAAATTCGCATTGGCTGGGTCCTGGAGGCCATGAGGATCTATCTGCAGATTTCAGGACAGCAAAGCATCGACGTGGATAATCTCTCGCCCTTCCAGGTCCGCATTCTTCTGCAGAAAGTTCTTACCGTCAGCGAGTGGGCGACAGAAGAGAAGTAATTACAAAATTAATGTATTATTTTAAGATTCTATATAATATAATTCTTTCATAATAGACTTACCACCCTGCAACGCCGCCAACTGGAGGGCTGCCTGTGTCGTGTGCCTAAACACTTCTATAACAAGATCTGGGAGATCCTCCAGCGTACTCCTCAGGGCATTTTGACCCAGGGCCATCACCTGCCTGCTACGCCCACATTGACCAATATGAGCCGTGGCGAGTTGACCTTTAACCTGCTCGTCGAGGAGACGCTGATTTGCATTGACCGTCCGGAAAGGCGTCAGATAACCGTGGAGCTGCTCTGTATAGTGGCCACCATTCTAAATCGGTAAGAGATTATCAATATATATAAATATACTAGACTTTATATTTAATTTTTTACAGCAATCCTGAGCTGCACTTCAAGCAAGCCCTTGACTTGGACGGCATTTTGGCAGAGGCCTTTGCCATGTACTGCAAGGATAACAATATACAGCACCACCTCAGCCCCAGCCGCAGCAGACCAAGAATGAGGATCTCAAGGCATTCTACTCACTGCCCTATTCCGAGACCACTGGGTATTTGGCACGCGCCGCCGTCAACAAGGTTCTGCAGGGCGGCATTTTCTCCACCTCCGAGGAGGATGTCCAGCTCGACGGCGATCATTTGCACGACGACAACTGCAAGGTGTCCTAAGCACAAGAGGGTGGTACGCGACATTAGCTTATGTATATAGCACAGTTTGGCATATCTTCGTGACACTGACCCCACCAAAACCACTAGCTCGAATTTTGTGGCTATTTTATTCTGTTATTCTTATTTAATTCGTCTCTCTCTCTGTGTCCTTCGCTCGCTTAGTTCTTAATTAAATGTTATGTATATTTTTGTTGCAATAATCGAAGGTGTTACATGTGCCGAGTGTTTGATTAGTTAATAGGTCAATAGCATTTCGGGGGATGGAAACCAAAGCAAATAAGTGAGCCCTAACCTTGCCTAATGCAAGCCGTATTGATTGCACCCCGGCTTATGTCACCCTTGCCCTCGTTGGCTATAAAAGCTCTTGGCCGTTTCTCCACTCGGTTTACTTGACGAACAGTCGTCGTCGGACTTGTACAACATGCGGGCTCCTGAGTGGATGACCAATGAGATGGCGCGCCTTACCTCCCGATTGGAACGTTACAAGCCAGCGGGCAGTGGCTACAATCGCATCCAATCGATTCGGCTGTCCAAGAGCGTTATGCAGATGCTGAACAATCCAATGCCAGTGGCTCCAACTAACGCGGCCAACGCTACCACCGTAAGGACACAACAGCTGGAGAGGTCCTTCACAACGCCACACCGGCGGCGGGGTGTCCTTAGCCGCAACGAATCGCAGTGGGAGGAGGTGTATCCTGTCGTAAATGTTAGTCGTCAACAGAGCAGCGATAGTGCCAGCAGTCGGGATAGTGAATTCCAGTTCACACACTATCGGAATTGTGCCACGAGGATTCCGTGATTAATTATATACATATTGGAATAAATTATATATTTTGCAATATTTGTAAATTTCTGTGTTAAGTAACTAATAAACCAAGATTAAAAGTCTTCAACTTATTTATTACAATAAATTTCGATTCTTTATTTTAGTTCGTATGTAAGTTCCACGTAGTTAAGCTTATTTTGGAAAATTAAACGCTAAAAAATAGGTACAATCTATAGATATATATGTATATATACGTTTTAGGTTGTTCGTTTCTTGGTATAAAAATTCATTTGTTTATAATTTGATTTTTCGTTTCGATATACATATATAAAATAGCACATACAGATTTAGTTGGCGTGTATTAGTAAGTTTACGAGATTGCCTATGGGAGATATTTGTGTACAAAGCCTACGCTCAGAGAAGCATTAACATTTTTAATTTTGATATGAATTCGCCTAGATAATGTTCGCTTAAGCAAATGATATTTGCATTCAATACAAAAATATGTCACGTGATGATATGCCTATAACTAAAGTCAACGCTCTATATATACGCACGATCTAGAGTTTTATAACAAACAATTTAACATATACAATAATATCCTTAATCCGTTTTGTAAAGGGCACACACAGGCAAATATAGAAATGTATGCACGATTCGAAGCAGTTTTGATTAATATTATTACATGATATTATTCGTTCGTATAAATATAAAACATTGATTACCTAAGGTGTTATTTAGTAATTACCTATTAGCTCTGGATGCTTCAATTTAGGTTAGTTATATATATAAGGTTTCTGTAAAATGCTAATTTCCCTGAATATGAGTTTTCATCATCATTATTATTATTATTAGTTTTTCCATCTTAAATAATAGCTTAAATATATTATTTGCTTTCGTTAGGCAATTAATTACATGTACAATTCACTAGTATTTTCATTTGTTTAAACTAACAAACAGCAACACTTTTCGCTTACTCAGGACTAAATTACTTAATTACTTTGCTGCTTACAGACTAGGTACACGTACGTACATAATAAATGTATGCAAAATAGTTGGTGTACAGTATTATCTGACTCTTGCGGTCTCATCATCACACACCGGGCAGTACTTTTGACAAAAAATCGAACGAACTGTGTAAACTGTATAAATATGGGTGATGTGTTTGCTTTGTGTGTTTGATTTGTTGTGTTCTCTTCTCCGACATACATATAAAAATGTTAAAAAAGACTATGAAACCTACGACAACGCAATACGTACTAAATACGTAAACAAATTCTACATTTCCTAAGTATTAAGGTTAGCCCTATGTTATTGTGGCTGCAGCTGCTCGGGCCGGCGCACACTCATTCGGCTGGGTATTGAGTCGGTATCACCGTCATCGTCCACATACTCCTCCTTGGGACGGGTCCACTTAATCAGAGTCTCAGGCGATCGATACAGGAAGAGTAATTTGGCAAACAGATCTTCCTCCAGTGCAAATTCCAGGGCCTCGCGTACCTAAAATTAAAGGAAATAGTCAAATTTATGTTGATTTTAATATTCAATAATATCTCACCAAATAGATATCCAGGCACAGTTGCAGAACTCGATCCACGTAGGGCAGATCCTCGAACATAATCTTTCGATTCTGGCCGCCAATAAAGGACTTCATGAAGCGCGAGGCCAATAACACGAAGGTGGTGTACAGACCAATGATGCTGTAGGGATAAATATTTAATATAATTATAAATATAAGAATATAAACAACAACAACTTACCCTCCCGCTGTAAGGAAGCTAAACGTCGATGGGAACTTCTTGTCGTTGAACGTGTACATCACTATTCCCGATGTGCAGTTGCTGTAGGCAAACTTGGACAGCGTTTCGTTATAGAAGGTGTCGTTGCAAAAGTCGCGGATCTCCCACCACAAGCCATTGGTCTCGTTGTCCCGATGCATTTTGATGACCAGTGGTCGGTAATCCTGATGTTTTTCACTCAGCACACTGACCACAGCAGCATCGCCCGAATTGAGAACCTTTATAAACTTAGGTATCATGGCGGGCAGCACAACAACTTCCTCGAGAACGGGAGTGGGCACAATGGTGGTATTGTCTGTGAGGTTGCTATTACTGACACTGATCACTGGATCCTGGTCGTGATTCTCGCTGAGCATATGAATCAGAGCTGCGCGACCCTCAAAGGATTCGTCCAGTGAAATAGCATGCTCATCACCCACATTCTCTTTCAGTCCCTTAGCTGGAGCCTTACGCGTCAGGGAATAGGAAAAGCGGGCCTTTAAAGTATGATCTGAAATGCAAGGGATTTAGTTCAAATTGCCAGCTGGATTTTAATAATTTATAAAAACTTACTATTCCGTAAATCATTGAGTAACCGCTGCCTATCCGGCGGTGCTATATTCCAAAGTGATGGCGAGTTGCCGGCCAGCTTAACCGCCGCCACATCCGTTGCATCGTAGCCAGTGATAAAGGTCAGAGCCTGTTTGTCCTTAATGTATGCGTTTGTCATCTGCGAGTACATCTCAGGGTTGATCTCGAAAATGCTATCGTAGTTATTCGTGGTGTAGATAGGATCGTAGGGTCCAATTCGAATGGATAGTGACACTTGGAAGGGCACATTCGAGGTGCCTACAGCATTGCCCAGGGCAAAGAGGCACAGGGGTCCCCAAATACAGATCACAATTAGCAGGACGATGGTGCCGCCCATCAGGAGCTTGGATAGCGAGGCCTTCTTTTGAGCCCTCATGGCCGGAAAGTCGGTTTCCGACTGCCTAGTGCAGCGTATCAGATAAATGTTAGAAAAGATATCCTCCATTTTCAGCCAGTCGAAGATGGTCATAGTGCTATCGATGCAAACCCAGTCCAAAATAGTACGCAGCTCGTACAGGAACGGGATCTGCATGTACACTTTGAAGGCAATCATGTTGACCATGGAGAAGCCCTTCGTGAAGAAGTTGCCCAAAATTCGCTTGGGGTATCCCGATTTAATTTGGTAGGAGCTCAGCAGCATGTAGAAGCACTTGATCACGTAGAAAATGATGGGCGGTGCCAGGGAGTTGAATGTTCGCTCCGTGACAGCCGGTACCACGAAGAACATCCAGATGTGTATGCCAATCACCGAGAAGAAGTGGAATATTATCTTGTTCACCAAAGCCTTTCGCAAATACAGAGCTCGATCTATGACAATGAGCAGGAACTGAACCAGCAACATGATGAGGAAGGGTATGGGCACTTTGTTCTCCGCCAAATAGGTCTGAACACCCTCATCACTTTCCGTTTGTTGGGTCTGTTGTATAGAAAAGTATATAACTAACATTGTCTCTATGAATTAGAGGCTTTAACTTTCTACTTACACCAAATGCCGTGAAGCCAAAGAGCAGCACAAAGAAGTTGACAAAATCGCAAAGGAACATCAGAGCATATACATCTGTGGCAAGGCGGGATTTGTGCACCAGACTGAAGAAGAACTTGTGCAGCGAAGAGGTGTACTTGGTTCGTCTGTAATGAAGCATTTTAATATAAGTATGATATAACTGAAAAAGTCACTGTGCAGACGGATACTTACTCTAGCTGATTGATTCCAGATTTGCTATACTCTGGCGATCCTGGCAAGGAAGCCTGACTCACTTGCAGGCTCATCTTCTGGGCAGCAGCCTCATCGTTTAGCTGGCGCGAGTCGGGCTGCGATAGATTGTCGCTATCATCACGATCATCACTAAGAAAATAAGAACTTGTCAAAGAAAATATTTATATTTCAATAACTCTACACACGTACATGCTAGCGGTGGGTCTAGTAAACTGGTTATCCGTATCCTTATATCCAGATTTCCACAAGCCCTGCGATTTAAGCAGATATCGATGCAGGAAGAGTACTAGCAACAGAATCAAATCATAAATCGCATAGTGGGTCTTCATCTCCACGCCAAAGATCTTGGCAGGTGTCAGAGGCTGATTGGGCAGATTGTGATAATTGGCCCAAATAAGCTTGAACTGGAAAATGCACTTAATCAGCACAATGGCCTGGGTATAGGCAATCAAGGTGACCCAGAACGTTTTCGTGGGACGTGGCAATGACAAGGTGCCCCACAAAAAGACCATAATAGGCAGGGGCAGCGAAATAAGACTGGCATTAACCACCTGGAAAACAAATTAAAAGATATAGTATACTCTGAAATATAACTTAAGATGCTCTTACTTGATTGATAAACACCACAATGTAGCAGATGAGGTCCGTGTTGGCCAGCAAGGCATACCATGAAGAGATCAGCACCTCGACTATGATGTGGTGATCCGCTGGGCAAAGTTCTCCTCCTCCAGGTTGAATTCCCCGGCACTAAAATGGTCCCCAAAAGAAATATCAGTTCACAAAGTTCTCTCTTTCTTTCTGTGTAGATTCATGGAATCTATATCAACTGGACATGCTCGGTGCTCTGTGTTCTTAGGAATACGTGTGCGCTGCATGCTCCACAGTCTACATGCGCGAGTGCATCAGTGTGGAACTAGCTTTAAACTAGGATTAATCGAAGCCACACAACGGATACATACTAGCAAAGAACGCATAGAGATAGGTTTAAATCATAGCAGCGAATACAACTTATTGGAGGAGGCAGAAATACAGAAATACATAGATGCAGAGTTACAGTTACCAAAATAAACAGAAGGTAGAGACAGACAGAGGTTCATGGTTGGAGATGTTAGAGTGTTCTGAGCTTGACCATGACCATGATCATGAGGATGGCAATGGCAATGAGCTTGAAAGATATATACATAAAATACAGGTTAAGAAGGGTCGATTTAAAGGGAGGAACTGTATGATACTTTCGATTTGAATTCCTTCAAAATATTATTCCCATTAAATCGACCCTCCTAAATACAGATAGTTAGAGAGGCGCTTTACAAACACAAACCGAAGAAGACACCAACAGACATTAATTTAGGCACATCAATTGGTTAGGGGATAGTGAGTGGTAGCACTACGCTTAGTTAGTGAGGGGCGGGACCAGTACCTGTCCACCTGCTCGTAGGACCAGTGCTTGCTCAACGATCCCGAGCCCCCGCCGCCGGCACTGTGATGATTATGGTGGTAATAATGTGCGCTGCCCCGCTCAATCGAGGGCGCCTTGATGCGGATCTCGGGCAGGCCACAGTCCGATTTTCGACTGAGCATCATCGTGCTATAGGTACGTGTTGCAATTATAATGCCGCAGCGCAGGGATGGGGTGACGAGAGGAGAATGGAATGTCGTGAAATGGAAAGTAGGTGTCACAATGCAGAAAATAGTAGATGTGGTTTACATATATAGAGAGAAATATTTTGCTCAGGTATTAAGGAGATCGTAGTATAGATGTCTTAGAGAGCCGACACCAAGAAGAGATGCCTCGCGTGTTAGTGGCGTTTACTGATCTCGGTTTTAGTTTTAGATTTTTGTATAGTATGTGTATTCGATCTACTTACCCCTTGGTTGGCGGCGATGAATTGATTGATTGTTTTCTAACGAAACCAAAAATATATATTCGGATGGATCAAATGCGCGCGCAGAAGAATGTGGAATGTAAGAAAAAGAAATTAGTAAGGATCTGTTTTTTGTTTATAGTTTTTTTGGTTGGTTTGATATTTTTTTCATACACATAAATAGATCGGATTTGGCTAGCCAAATGGTATGTCAGAATGTTACCTTTTTAAAATAAATAATAAATCAATAAGAGGTGTATAGGAAATGACAAAAAGTATTCTTTGGCCAGACATTACATTGAAAAGATGGATTTGCTGTTGTCTGAGTACAAAATGGGAACAAATAGCAGACATTTTCTTTTATAATGCATTAAAATAATTATGCCTAGACAAATTGTTGATTAACTTTAAATGTACCTCAAAATTTTATTGTGGTCCTTTAAAATTTAAATATACTTTCATATAATTATACCAATGAACTTGCCAAGCTAATTGAACTGATATTTAAATGTGTAAAAAAGTGTACAAGACTGGTTTAATAATCCGTGAAAATGTGCAGAGAAAAAAGAAATGGAATATGGCGAATTTCCGCATCCAGAAATCAAATGTTATCGGTTGAGTTTCGATTACCTAGAGGTGGCTGCATCGACAGTGTCTACTGGAAGATCGATGATTTCGTCGATGGGACGATTGTGCTGATGCTGCTGCTGCTGCTGCTGCTGCTGCTGCTGCTGTGGTGTACTGGTTGTTGTTGGTGGTGGCAGTGGTTCGGGTGGTGATAGCGGTGTGGTGGTTGTGTTCGTGTTCAGTGGAGTGCTGGTGTCTGGGTTTTCGATGGCATTCGGTGGCGCAGTGACCACCACCCGCCGCGGTGTGGATGCGGAGACGGGCGCGGCACTTTCATCGCTTTAACAACAGCAACATCAACATCATGATCACAACATCAACAACAACAACAACGGTGGTGTGTGGCACAAATGATGGAGGTGAGTTGTAGGTGTATTGTTGAATTCGAGAGTAGTAGTAGAAATAATGTTGTGGAAGCACAGGAACACGAAACACAAAAGGTAAACGGATATGCAAATAAAAAAAGAGAAAAAAGAGTACCAAAATAAATAAATATTGAATTGAAATCGAACGAACACAACTCTCAACGAACAGAAAATACAAAAATAAATAATTAATGCTTCGTAACGCGACCAGAACACGCTACTCTAGGGACGCTCTCGGGTTTCCAGTTTCCAAATAAAAAAAATAACAAAACTTAATTCAAATTTAACGCAAGCGGCGCACACTGGACCCCAAGCTCCAGCCTCGCTTTCTAAATACCTCTCGAGATTGGACTTGAGGAAGTGGAACATGGCAGCGGCACTGGACAGTCCCAAACGATTCAACGAGCTGGATTCCTGAAAAAATAATAAAGGATAATTACAATTAGAATTTAAATATCTCTTTTATAATTACCAAACCCACCTTGAGGGTCTTCTTCTCGCCGGCCAGGATGCGGTTGACAAAGCGATAGTTGCGCGAAAAGCGATTCAGTCTTATGGTCAACGTGACCAAGAAGCCCTCCAGCAGTCTAATAATGGGATTGGTATCAAAGTCCTCGTCGGAATCCTTGGCCGTCACCTCGCCGCTGTCAATTTCCATCTTGGACTTGCTATCCGAAGTCTCCTTGGAGGCAGGGGCCTCGCGTCCCCCTAAGCTAGTTGAAGGCACCGGTGGCGGGATCACTGGCAGATCGGCCACATCTCTAGTAGGAGCGGGACTGGCTGAGCTGGATACCGTACCCGTGGCCGCGTCGCGTTCCTTGGAAATACCCTTGCTAGTAGATGGGAAATCACCAGGTGGAGCGTCCTTGGATTTCTGTGGGGGAACAAGTCGAGCAATAGATAAGTTAGGATTGTGAAGGTAAAAGTCACGTAAACATTTACACCATTTATAACGAAATTAAAAACCAAGCTTATACAGTAAATGCATATGAATAAATCTCGCTTGTTGTACAGTATTTTGTGGTAAGTGCGCGCCCTGCTGCTGCTGCTGCTGGTCGGCAGGTTGAGCCTGGAGCAGGACTCGTGAGCAAATAAGGTGAAATGCGAGAGGGGTGCGCCAATTAAAGAGAATATAATTCTGCTTGCTCACAATCAGCACACAATTCAGACTCACAACCTCGAGCAGCGACTGGCTGCGACGCCCAAAGTCTAACGGCTCAGACAACGTCGAGGTGCGCATGCCCAGATCGCACTCAATTGTATCATCATCCTCGTCGTCATCGTCGTTATCGCTGACCTTCTTCTCCATCTCCTCATCCAACTTCAGGGCAATGCGAGAGCCCGGCTCTGAGGCATACGAACGTTCGCGCATATAAAAGTGACGACGATATTCGGCATCATTGAGATCCTTCCACACCTTTGATCACAAATCGGGGCAATTTTTGATTTTGATATGGGGTTTTGTGTTTTGTTTTTGGGGAATTTACAAGAATTTAAATATAGTTCAAATAGTCATGCCGGAAAGATGGGTTCCAGATCACATGCAACTGGTTCCTATTTCTCAAATTAAACCCGAATTAAAAACATCTAGGAACTCACATCGTATAGGGTCTTGCGGCGCTGCATCTTCATCTCACTCTCGGTGATGTTCTCCTCCTCCAGAAGTCGATTTCGTCATGTATCAGATCCAGTTCGAACTTGTCATCCATCTCCTCGAACATGTAGTAGTCGCCGGCACGAGTAGCTTAAGGGGAACATCAAAGAAACATTATGAGCAGATGGATCTCAAGACACATAAAACAGCAATTATAGTTGGCGTATTTTCAACAACATTCAGATGTAGGAATATATATAGTTAAGATAGCTAGGCTTTTCATTTCGCATTCAATTTACATAGCAGCACACAGGATCATGCAGTTAATCATTGGGCGGAATTTATTTACATGGTAAGGGCAGTTAATATAGATTATATATATCAAACAAATAAGGCACAACAAACGAAAACTTCTTTACCATGTGGATGTAATTTAATTTCCTTCCTTCTGCGTACTGTTGGTGCAGGAAGTGGATAACCATGTTCTAAAAAATAATCAAAAACAATAATGAAACGAAAAGTTAAATAAAAAATGGTAATAAACGAAGATCAAATACAATTTATTTAATCGAAATCAAGACACTCAACGGCTGGCCGAAGTTGTGGTAAGTTGTAAATTGTACCAGATTTCTGAATCGATCCCCACAGGCATTCAATATGCTTATATCAAAAGAGATCTTTGGCGAAAATTAAATTAAATAATATAATCTCTAGATTCCATATCACTTTCCATAAATAAGTTTTATCAAAAAAGCTTTAAGGCGAAATTTAGAAAAGATTTAAATTGAAAAGTCATCGTATTTGTCATGCAGATCGAACTCCCCGGAATTCTAGCAACCCAACACTGAGATCGTTAAAGAGATTTATTTTACACTTGTAGTAACGCTCAGGTACTCTGAGATTAACCGATTAAGAAGTAATTAATTGGTAGCAAAGTTCATCTAAATTAGTGATATTTACAGGTCAGACTCGGAGAGGCAGTGGTTGACTTGGGGTCTGTGCTACACACAGGACCCCAATTGCTTTTATTATTATCTTAAAGAGAGCACGCACATCATAAAACATTTTGTATTATTTGTACAGAGTTTCGTTTAAGAGCAAAGTTATTAAAATTCTTATTCGAGAGAAAAGGTTAATCCAATACATGGTCCATGCAGCAGAGCGGGCTCATAGAAGGCGCACATCAGCGACTCCATATAGCTGACCGTACCCACGGGTCCCCAGCTATGTGGTCTTTGTGCGAATCGCAGGGCGGTCTCATCCCTGGACATACGCTTGCGATGGGACTGCGACTCCTCCAGCGAGTAACTGGCATTTCCCATGCTCTGGTGCCGGCGATGCAGCAACTTGTGGCGCATGGTCACCTCCTCCTCGTCCCTATCTGCCGACTGTTTGGAGTGTATGCGTGAGATTGAGATTTACGGTCAGACAGAATCACCACTTTACCATTTGCTTTTTCTTTATGGGGGATCGCTTGATGGACACGGTCTCATTCCAGGAAACAGCTGCATTGGTTGACGACTGGCGACGATGTTCTCGGCGTAGATTCGGAGTCAGATTGGATGATAGCACCGAGCTGGGAGCACTAGAGCCATTGCTGCAGCATAGGCAGCCAGGGGAGGCGCCAGGTTTGCATGTTACCCGAAGCACTTACATCCGATGGGCCAATCCCAGGGAGATTCGCTTTGGCTCCAAGAAACCCTCGGTGAGCAGAGCGGATAAGGCCTCCGTACTTAGCGTTGTTGGCTTCGAAGAGTCCAAACTCTTAAATGCAGCATCCTGTCCAGATCTTACTGCCTTCATCATGGTTTCCAATCGTTTCCTAGGCAGTGCCACTGTCACTGCCTCCTCCTCGCTAAGTGATTGCACATCCACATAGTCCGTGAACTCATCGCAGGGCATCACATTAATCTCTGGTTCGATGATCACTGCTGCATCCGCACTATCCTCGCTCTCCACGCTACTGCCACCACTGCTGCTGGACAGGATGAGGCTCTGGCTGGCGATGAAGTGGCTGAAGTGTTGGAACTTTGTCCATCTGGCGTTAAATACCCAGATCCCTGGCACGAGGTGAAGCTGCTGTTGTGGGCCAAAGGCGCCACCTCTGATAGAGCCTGCTCTGAGGGCGTGCGTTGCCCTTGATAAATCCAATCCAAAATTATTTTAGAACACACACACGCGACAATTTCCAACGAGATCAAAATTCAAAAAAGGGAAATTGCAAAAAAACGCGACGCGAACGCAAAAATCTAGAAACCAAAACGGAGGAAGGGCAAAAGCCCCTCAAATTTTTCGCCGGGTAACTTACCATCGAAATGTGTCTGCTTGTCCAACGGCCGGAGCATCTTCTGCTGCGTGGCCCGGATGCGTTCCATCTTCCGCTTGATTTTGTGCAGCACCTGCTTCTCGTGGTCGTGTCGATGAGCAATTTGCTTCTGTCGCAGGCTCTCAATAATATCCGCTCCCCTGCAAGAGAAAATGCTCATCAGTTTGGAATTTGCAAAGGAAAATAGTGATGAACCCACCTAGAAGCCAGTATATTGTTCGCCTTCGTGTCCGTGATAATGTGGCAGAAGTAATGCGACTTGAAGATGCGCAGCTGGAAGAGGATAAAGGCAAAGCAGATTGTATCCCAGAGCAACACCACCTGGTGCGTGATCTTGGGACACTCGCCGGGCGCAAGCAGCACTACGGTGTCCTCGGCAGCACTATTGCTCCTTGGGTACATTGCTCGTGCAGGTGATACCCAACATGTGCACCAACCAGCAACAATCGGTGGTCAGTTGCGTCATGAACAGGCAACCGGCCATCTGGAAACTGGTCTTGATGAGGATATTTGCCACGTTAAAGGCCAGCAGCCACTTCCAGCGACAGATGATGGTGTGGATGGGTCGCAGATAGAAGTCAGATCCCTGCCACAGAAAGATGAAGGCCCCAATCAGATATCCCAGAGCTAGCAGATCAGCAATATTGTGCCGGCGAGGAAGACCACCGCCAGGGTGAACCAATAGAAGCCACACAGTACTCCGTTCTTCAGAATATCCGAGTAGTTGCGTATGTACGAGCAAAAGTCGTGGGTGGGATTGTCGAAGGGCACGCGACCAAGCTGGGCGATGTCCTTAATCACACTGCGGTTGCTGCCGCCCGGATAGTCATCGTTGCTAGCATAACGCTGCTCAATGCAAAAGATGCTCTTCTGACGGTTCAGTATGATAAGAACGATAAAGTCGAAGATCAATTGGGCACATGGTTAAAGTGCAGAGCTCCAGGCAGCATGGTCCAACGTTGAATGCCCTCGCCAAAGAGTCCCTTATCCCATGGATAAACTACAATAAAATAACAAGTCATATATAAATCCATATTTTAAATGTAAGCCGATAAATTCTTACCCAGACATGAGCTCGGCGGCAATCCAACCAACACAATGTATTGTGTCAATATGGAGATGGCAAAGAACGCCTGGAATACGCCCCAGATCTTGGCGCATTGTGACCGTCTCAGTAATAGCAGGATTACTAGCCAAAAAACATAGGCACGGCTACAATATCCTGGCGATAGGTTATCGTCGAGACAAGGGCAATTAACGATATCTCAATGCCGAATTTGTAGAATCCAAAATTGAGGAGATACTTGATCAATCCCACCAGATCCTTCTCGGCATCCGCACGAACAATGTTGGGGAACAGTAGTTTGGTGGGCGGAGCATTCAAGGCACCAATCTTCACGCGCATTTGGAGCTGACGGAGTGTGATCACAGCGTGCATGGTAACAATGACCATGTAGATGATGTAAGTGCGCAGCAGACCCATTAGACCGCCCTCCAGCTTGTTTGCCTTGCTAAGACCCAGCCATTCGGCATTGTTGGCCGTCCGGTTGTCCGACTGAAAGAGAGGTTAGTTTATCTGACATGTTAATTACTAGAAGATGTTTAACTTACGCAAGTTACGTTGTATTGAGTGTGATCCAGATACTCGATCTGGTAGATCATCTTGGACAGAACTATGATGGTGACAATGAAGGAGATCAGACGACTGATCACCACCTGGATGGCCTTACGCGAGGTGGCGCCCAGCACGCAGAAGCCCACAAAGATAATGTGCAAGACGCAGACCTCGCTGACACTGCAGATGAAGGCCGCCAGGTAGACTGCCTTCATAATATGCAGCTCGAGGAAACGCCAGAACACGTCTTTGAAGTTCTTGAATATGTACTCAGACTTATTCTTGATCTTGCGGAACGAAATGCGCACCAAATCTCGCACGGAGGTTTCAAAATCCGTGGTGGCTGCACCGGGCGCTGCCTCCGCCGATGCTCCTTGGGAACGACGAAGGGAGCCGGCACTGCCACGGCGCTTGGATGCTGCAGCCGACGGTTCCAATGCTGTTGTCTCTGTGGGCTTCTGCTGTGCCGAACCAGGTTGCTGCTGCAGGGACGCGATAAAGCGTTTGTGGAAGTAATGCACTTGGATCACGGTCAGGATCACAATAATCGTGGGCGAGACCAAGTGGAGGAACAGATCCTTGGTTTGATACCGCTTCAGACCAATGTCGTTTTGCAGCGTCTTGGACACATTGAGATAGTCGTTCCAGTACGTATCGAACTTATCGAATTGATATGTATAGATCAGTATGAGTATGGACATGGCGTAGAAGATCAGGAACAGCCAGAAGCCGTACATGATCTTAACCCAGGCCTTGGACGAAGATTGAAAGACCAGCAAGAAGAATAGGAACAGGGCCATGTAGCAGATGCGGAAGCCTGTCATATTCTCGCCAGTGATGGCGCACAGGAAGATCACCAGCACCAGCAGCCAGATCCATAGGCGAACCAGCAGATTTTTGATCACATCACCGGCCTTCTTTAGGAACTTTGATGTCTTCTTGCCGTCGTTGATAAGGTAACTTGACCCAGCTGATCCAACGGTGATCTGTAGCGGAGCAATGATATCTGCCAGAGTGCTGTCCCTTCGACGATCTCGTTTCTCTTTGAAGAACTGCCGCGACGTCACCCAGAACATCAGAACGAAGGCGGTCTTCACGATCAGTGGCACACACGGACGCATTTGATTCTCGATGGGACGCTCGAAGCCAATCTGCTGCAGGTTAATGCCCGCCGTCTGTAAATCATATTGCAGTTAATTAAATTAAATTTGCAGCCAAGACAGCGCAGACGTTCTTAAACTTACGGAAACCTTCGTGGGGAGCTCGCTATTTGTCAGATCCATGCCATATATATACTGTGCCACCAGCAGCACCTCGGCGTAGAGCACGATAAATGGACTGGAACGCATCATGGCCTTTCGCTGGTTGGGTATCATCCACAGGACGTTGGCCCACAGGAGCAGGACAAAGGTCAGCCAACTGTGGTAGACTATTGACCAGGCCTAAGAAAGAAGGGGGGACTGATAACATTACAAATCCACTTGCAGTGTAATACAACTCACCATCATTAGAATATTGGTGAATATATAACTATTCTGATAGATGAAACCTCCAACGCTGACAAAGCCATAGGATATCTGATCCAATATGGAGGTGGTTGTGTTCTCCTGCTCCGATCGCTGTTCCATCGAATCCAGCTGAATGTCGTTGCCCCGCTGTGTTCCACTGGGCGCCACCGAAGATCCGCTTTCCAACGGCTGAGGCGTGCGAGCCTTTCGAGTGCTTTGACGCACCAACTGTGCAGGGAAAGTTATACAATTGTTAGTTTCGAGTTAAGTGCATTTATTCTTTGCTGACATGAAGGAGATAGTTAAGCTTACTAATTGTGATAAATATGTACATACGGAGAGGTCTAGAGTTCTAGGACAACTACGGGTGTTAATGTCATCGATAGGTTACTAGCCGGGTGCATACTATTTTGGATCGCTGTTACAGTGTCATTATGGCCCATAAATCATACATCATACATCATACATCATACAAGTATACAGTCACACTTACGCGGTTAGTATCATGGTTACTTTACATTAGTTAGGATCTCTCATGACTTGAAGGAGATTACTAGGGGATTAGTACTATAGATTGCTATATAGATGTTAGGACGAGTACAAAATTTAACATTGACAAATGGCAGACAGTTAGAGGCTCGAAACCATATGATATATAGGATAGATAGATAGATAGGTAGGACAGATAGAGATACATAGGCTAGCTCTAGTCTAATGATCTTGGGGTTAGGCTGGTAGGAGAGGATGATAGAGAGTTTGGGCGCATAGAGTGGAGTTAGTTTACGTACAGGCGTCGTCTCAGTCGGTTCATTCAACGTTGCACGCTGATCACGGCGTAAAGAAACCTAAAGCGGAAGTAATAAAAGAGAGAGCGTAAACAAAAATCAAAACGGAAACGAAACAAAAAAAATACGTAAAGAAAAATGGCAGGAAAAAGCGCAGAATACAAGTCTTGTCAAGTTTCAGCAGAAAGGCACACACAAATTGTCTCAAATTTGTTGATCAAAGTTTTCGAGGTTAAAGGTTTAGGCAAAGACAAACATTTAGTTAGGTTTTAGTTGAGCTCACTAATTGTGTATAGTGTTTGCAGTATAATTCATGTCCTAATCGAAATATACAATATTTTTCACACCAATTTAAACATATAACCTGATTCGGTGGACTTTTAAAATCAATATTGTTTTGAAATTTATAAGAAAAGTATGTAGAATTTTGAGTTTATTCGTTTTTAAACGTGTTTGGAACCAGAACGATTTCTTTTAATTATTTGTAATTTTTCATGGAATTTTTATAGTTCTGTAAAGCATAATTGCATTTGAAGCAATATTAAAAGCTACAGTTTTCCGAACCCATATAATACCCATAATATAAACAATTCAATGAAAAATATAATAAATCAAGTTTTAACTTTTTGTACAAACTTAATCCACAAAATTAAATTCTTGAAAAGTAAGCTAATAAAAATGATGAATCTAAGCATAGGGAAGAAAAGCTAAGCAAATTTTTCCATTGATTATTGGTAATGGTTTTTCAGTTTTCCTCTCATGAAGCTAAGCTGGCTTATTGGGCATTTTCTACCTTTTCCCTATTACCCATTCTCTATATATTTTGTCCAACCGAAAATCCCTCAAATATATATATATATTCCACATTCACACACCGCACCCAAAATCGAAACATAAATCCCGAATCTCAATCCACACTCGCTCGCTTACACTCAAGCGCTGATTGCGGATTGTGGTCGTGGCAGTGGTGGCGGTGGCGGTGGTGGTGATAGTGGTGGTGCCACCTCCGCCCGAATTTGACCCATCCCGGCGACCCCGCGATGTTTGCGACGTGAGCAGCGACAGCTGGCGGTTGACCTTGTTGTTGCCGGTGTTGTTGATGCTGCTGCTGTTGCAATCTAGCTGCTGACCAAAGGCAGTGGCGGGCTTCGATTCCAGCTGCTCGGGCGATGGTGGTTCAAGTGGATCAGCATTTCGGTGGTGTTCAGGTGTTCAGGAGTGTCCAAGGAGTGTGTGTGTGTGTGGTGTGTTAGTGACAGTTTGTAGTTAGGTGTTAGGAGTGTTTAGTTTATGTTGGTTTATTTTTGTCGGCGTGCAGAGTATATTGAAAATTAAGTGTTTTATCCGAATGCAAGTGGCAGCAGAAGAAGAGCAGAAATTGAAAGTAGATTTAAAACAATGTCACGTGATTTGTGGACCTATTTTTAGCAAGACTGAAAAATCTGTTTCTTATGAATAATATTACATTTATCATTTGATTAAAACAAGCTTTAGCGATTTCTTTGGCATCTTTTATACCTATTTGAGGATACAATAATTCAGTCAGAAGCTTATAACCAGTGAAGGCATCATTTCCGACCCTAAATTTATCTTTCGAAAATATTGAAAAAAATGTGGAGGGCTTAATTCGTTAAAATTTGGATCTCAAAAATTGGCAAAAATGTAACTTTCTTAAAATTATAAATGTTGAACGGAGATTTATTAACCTTATAAAAACCAACTTGGGAAAGCTTTCCGAATTAAAATTAATGCATTTTTGGCTTAGTTATGAGATTTTTAAACTTTGATTTACTGAAAAAATTGCCTTTATAAAATATTGACTCAAAGAATGCGAATATTTTAGGCTTTGCTATGATCTATTTTTGATTGGATCCTATAATACGATTACCAAATGCAAGAGTATATATATTCGGCTTCCGAACTTTATTAACTTTTTATTTATGCATGTTAGCACTTAGGGGAAATTTGTAAGATATTTCTATAATTAAAATGTTATAATAAACTACAGTTTCTGGCTAATAAAATACTACATTTGATTATTCTGAAAATTGTTAAGTTCTACTTCTTTTGGTATTATTCTCAGAAAGTTCTTTTCAACCTTAGATTTCTAAATTCAGTCTCATTTATATTTTGCTGGTGACACCGATGAAGAAAACCATGTTAGTTGCTTTAAGCCAGAGAGGGAGCTAAAACGGGCTTAAAGCATTCAATCCAAATGACTTAATTACTGACTTACCCGTGGCTTAATCAGATGCTTGGTGGTTAGGGCCAGGGCGAAGTAAGCGAAAAACAACGCAAATGGATTGAGGTACGAGTCCAGTGACAGTTCATTATTGTAGAAGAGGACCCGTATATCCGACGCACAGTACGATTCAATGAGCGGCTCCAGTCCAATCAAGCTGATGGGGGCAGAGATACAGATACAGAGAAATCCCGTCACAGGATGTAAGCGACAGTCCTCCGCCTCCTTCTCCATCTCTCATTTTACTTACCGAGCTGTCAGTCTGGTGTGATTGAGGTGGCCCTGCATCCATGGCGTCTGGTAGGAGACAATAGACAGGGAGTGCAGCACGAGGACAACCATTACGCAGCGCAGCAACAATGCAAAGCCCCTGAACACAAAAAAAGGTGCGACAATACAAAAGGAAAGTCAGTAAAGTGTCCGGAATGGATGCAATGGGGGGCACTGATGGGGACACGCACCGTTGCAGCGTTTGGCAGGTTGCCCAGTAAGTTCCGGCCAGCAGGAAGATGAGAAAGTAGAAGCCGCCTGGCACCGAGGGACGCAGCACGGCCGCAAAGAACAGTGTGGCGAGGCAGAAGAGCGGAGCTGTTACGAGAGGGGAAACAATTCATTCGTTTTAATTGAAAATATACCCAATTTGCTGATATATATCATAGACTCACATATCTTAATCAATCCCTCGAAGTGTATGTGCTGGCTAATCATGGACACCCGCTTCCTTAGCTGCTGCTGTTGCTGCTGCAGTGGCGTTGTGGCAGTTGCCTGCTGCACATCTCCTCCATTGGCATCTGTAGTGGGACTTGACTGGCCTCCGCGCCTGACCCTCAACCACTTCACCGTTCTCCAATTGCTCGGCGCCGACGGTTTGAGAGGCCACTCGCTTCACCGTAAGATACGATCCCAAGGAGGTGGCGAACACAAGCACCTCCGGCAGCAGCCACTCAATTATGGCAAATGCTCTGATTAGTAAATATAGTTAACAATTAATTAAATTGTAGTTTGGAAAACTGTCTCAACAAAACTCACTTCAGATCGACGAAGCTCACGAAACCAATGTGTCGCAGCAGGCGTTCACTGAACGAGCAATTGTAAATTGGCAGGGTGACGCTGACCGCTAGGATCTGGAGCGTTATGTGTCCCAGCAGGACCAAGGTGCTCAAGGCCAGCAGGATGATAAAGAAGGCGGTGACGGAACCCTTGAAGTTGCGACGCGTGGCCAGCGGGACAAAGGGTGACATGAAGAACATCAGCATGTACACAAAGGATATGCCCACCGGTCGCATCAGAGCAGCTAAATTTAAGAAAAATACATTTGAAAGTAAATAAAATTGGTTGGACAAATCAATAAAATATATTTAATGTGATAAATTTATAGGAAATTTTTGAATCTTTGATTTAAAACAGGATATGGATTGATATGTTGGTATGAGAAGGAGACGTAGTAGTAATATCAATAATAGCATGCCAGTTTTTTATACTCACCCAGGACGAGCACCGCCGGCACCACGATGCGCTGCAGCACCAGGCACGCATAGCTGAAGACCATTTTGATGGACGCGTTGCTGCCGCCTTCGTCTGCGTTTCCGGAACTCACGTTGCTCCTCCACCAGCTGCGTCTCCGGACTCAGACCCCGTCTCTGACACCCACGAGAAGCATTCATGAAAGCCTCAGCTTCGACTGCAATTTGTTGCCACAAATGGCGCAGAGCAGCTGTAAGAGAGAGGAGGAAAAGCAATTGAAAATTATACTTGAAGTACTTGGAAATAGCTCCCCACAGCTCCTGTTGCTCCAGCCACTTTAAGACCTTAAATCCTTCTCAGGGTTCTTAATCAAGCAAACCCACCAAAAGCAAAAGAACCCAACTAATTTACGGATATAAACATTGACACACTTTTAATTAACACTGGCAAAAGTCTTACAACAACACAAGAAAAAAGCAAGAAAAACGAAATAAAATCAAGCTCGACTGTGAAGTGGGCGTGGTTGTCGGTAGTCGCACGCTATCCTGCCTTGGGTTGGGTTAGTTTCAATTTTCCTCTTCCGCTTTCCGCATTTTCCAGGAGGAGTGGCCACGCAGCGGCGATTAGAGGAAGCCAAGGATGCGGGGCTAGCTGGCTTATGGATAATGGATGTGTAATTGACATTCAATGGCTCATAATGTGGCATTTATTTGAATTCGCTTTAAACTAATGGTGCAGAAACTATTGGCACAATGGATAGATAGAGGCCATTCGGAATGTTAAGGATAATGGCTTGCTAGCATGACAAAGGATTTCAGGGTAACAATAGTTTGATTAATAATAATTGTGGCAAGTTATATTTGAAACAATTTAATCTCAGATGACACATTTTAGGAGCAAAACTCTTTGCTGAATTCCACAGAATTTGTTGTCTTGCTTAAACTATTTTTGTTCCTCAGTAAAACACATAAGACATCTTATTAATATACTGATTTAATGCCTCACTCAAGATTGAGTGATTCATAATTCCGTGTAATCGAAAACTTGCGAAATTCTGATTAGCATTTAATGAATTTGTTAAAAATTCATTGAGAGATCATTTTAAATTTCAAATCGATTGTATAATGTCTAAAAACTTGCTTAAATTCTGACCTGATGCCACACTTATTCAATAGTATCGTGTTCACAATGCAAAATACAAAAAAAAATACACAAAAAGCGAGCAAAAGAACATCAACAAAACTGCTAATTTCGCACACAAACGGAAAATGGCGAAAAAAGATCAACAGCCATGACGTAATTTGGCATGTACAAAAGTTTTTAATTCTTTATTTTTTTGTTCTGCTTTTTTTGCTGTATTTTGCTGGGTTAACAAGAACAACAAGGGGACAAACAAAGAGAGCCGGCAGCAAGGGAGAAAGCAATCCGCCAACGCCTCCAACGCAAATATATCCGACATAATGTTGGCTAATAAAAGAGACGGAGCACTCGGGAAAGCGCGGGTCTGACAGCTGAGCCGCCGAGCCGACAAACCTCAAGTGGTGCCACACCTAACCCAACCCCCTCGCTCCTCACACCCACTCTGACAACCCGCCAATCACCACCCACACCACCGCCCTTTGGACAAACAAACAGATTCAGCTAGACAGGAAAAACAGAACAAAAAAATAAATAACTATATAGGTCATAGTCTAACGACAGTAGAATACTCAGCACTTTGACACTATAAAACATAGCATACCTTTTGGCGTCACAGAACTTTCTTTGGATTCAAATTAATTTATTTAAAATTAAACAAAAACCAAGTAAATATCACAATTTGAAAATTTACAGAATGCTTTTAAGGCATATCATCAATTTATTTACAATTTTGGAGTAATTCTGACAAATTTATTGTTAAACCAAGTTTTAATCACCCTTTTAATAAATTTTATTTCACACTTTTGCATTAACACAATATACCCCTAGAAAACACTCCCACAGTACGGGGTACCAAAAGATAGGAGCAAAGCAACCAGCTGGGAGAGCCCCCTAATGGCGATAAAAAGTAGTAGTAGGCCCATCAAAAACAAAAAATAGCACTCTACTGTTTTAGCAAAATAAATGCCGGTTGATGAGTTTGGCCCCACCACGCCCACACAGAGGGCAATGGGAGAGGGGGATGATGACGCCGGGAAATCTCTGTCTGAGCAGATGTCTAATGGCACAATAATGCTGATGGCAATGCGTCTGTCTATATGAGAATTTAATGCACAATTACAGCAAAAAAGTTTCATACAGGCAGAGATGGCATTAATATAACTCAAAATAAATATAGATGCGGTGTGGACTTTGTTCTTTCAGCTTGAATGTTAAACAAGTTGATACGGATTTCTATCTTAGCTATGTTTACTTCTCTGTAATCAGCTATCTAATAATAATTTATACATACTCAAATTTAAATAAAATGATGTAAAAGTATCTTTTATTGTTAAGGTTATCATTGTGAATTTTTCAGTTATTTTTACTCTATTTGTTTAAAACTTTTCTCACCCACTGTTACCCATTCCCAACATCCGAGTGAGTCAAAATCAAAGTTGTTTGGGACCAAAGAGCGGCACGTCGCATCGTTCCATCAAAAAACCAATGTGACACGTGTTGCTGCTATGCTTTTTGGGGCTTGGTTATGGGCATAGGCTCCTCCTCCTTCTCCACCCTCCAGAACACCCTTCTCCACACTCTCGAACAATGAATATGAAATGCCAGAGGCAGAAGGTCTAACCCGCGTGTTATTCGCTACTAATTCATTTGCCATACACGCATCGCTGATTGCTGAGCTACTGCTGCTGCTGTTGGGTATTACATATAATATAAGCATTATATTATATATGAATGGATACATAGATATCAGCAAAATTATATATTCCCACTGAGAGAGACCAGCAGCTGCTGTCCATCAGCAATGACGGGGGAGTTTTCTTTTCGGCCTGTTGCAGCCACATTTCTACACATTCCATTTCCATTTCTATTTCAATTTTGATTTTGATTCAGATTCTTATTTCCATTCAGCTCCAAATGTTTATTGTCTTTCCATTTGCTCTGTCAGTGTTGGAACATTGAGCATAAGTAGCATTTGCATGTGCTTTTATTGGGTTAACTTGGCACACATATTCCCCATAGACACTTCAATGTCGTTGTCGGTATTGAGAATCTCAATGTTGCCCATTGCATGCAATTGCTTTGGGTGTAATGCAGATGAAATCTATGCTCTGGCACTTGAAAACAAATATTAACATTTGTTTGGATGGAACGCAGACAGCTGATGGCAAAATGTCTCACCGTGCGGTACATGTGGCGTATACGTAATATTGAAAATACGTATACGTAATATGAAAAACGTATACGTAATATGAAAATACGTATACAAATATGAAAATACGTATACTAATATTGAAAAACTATACTAATATGAAAATACGTATACGTAATATGAAATACGTATACGTTATATTGTCGTAAATTTATATACAATTCTACAATTTTAGGTGTTTCATTATGTCTACAATGATTGTGAAAAGAGTCACTAAATTGTTTAAAATTCTGTATATACAAATAAACCTATTTTAGTTAATATTGTAATAAAAAACCTACAAATCGTAGTATTACGTCCAACTCATATGAATTTTAATTCGTATTTAAGGGTTTATACAATTCATTAACTCATTATATCATCTAAACCACAATATTTATGAATTAAAATGAAATTCTAATTAATTACATAGTAGCCTTTAAAGCCAACTTATGTAAGACCCAATGGTCTGTTTTAATTCCGCAATCAAAACTGTAAACTTAATCCCCGTCTAAATCCGCTCTTTAACTTTTCTTAAAGTTTCTGAATAACTAAGATAAAGTGTTTTATCTTAAGCGCCTTACATGAATAACAAAATTAAGCTGCACGGAGAGGAGGAGAACTCAATTGCAAGTCTGCTATCATCTTGGTCGTACTTCCGACCTTCATCCTCATCTGGGTAACCGCTCTCCCCCCTCCGACATTCATTAGTGCAGCTTCATTGCCAAGTCTGCCGGTCACTTGAACTTTGTCTGGGCGTTGGCATCTCTTGAAATAATATTTGCAATTTTATTTTGTGCAAGTGCAGGGGAATGGGAGGTGGAGAGTCGGAAAAGCGTTGACAAAGTCAACTAATCTCTGTCCAGTTAGTTGGACTTTTTCCTCCTCCCTTGAGCCGCGTGTCTGTGGGCCATTAATTCCACATTAATTACAAATGTCCAGCGAGTGGCTCGAGCTTTTCTTGCTCTCTATTTTTAGTGTCCACTTCTTTTTTAGGACCTCGTAATCTGCGAATTGTTGTGGTGTAGCTCTAGGACCTCTCCCTACTTTCTATACATTTTTTTGCTGCAATTATTCCTATGAAACATATATATATATTGGGTGCATGTCACACGCTTGGCTTCTGAGTCTACTTTGCCAATGATGACGTCACTTTGTTTGACGACTGTCAATGTCAATATACTTGGGCAATTGTTAACCCCTTGTTGCCAGGCGAAAGAACTAGGGAACTGTCGCTGTAGTTGAGGCTTTAAAACGAAAGCTATTCGAGAATCAGAGCATAATTACTCGAAAACACGCAATAGTCGGTTCTTAAAAGAAATTAAAGAGGGAGTAGCAAAAATAATGAAATTTCATTTGACATTCTTGGTGTGCGTTTGACAAGTAAGCTCGTTGGCTAACAAAAGCTTAAGAAGCGGAAAAATTCACATGCAATAAAGTTGCCTCAAAATTAAGGTGAAAATAAACTAAAAAACATACAATATATATTTTTGGTTACTTCAGAAGAACATTAATATAATATTTAGATCGTGTAGACTAGAAAAAAAGTCTAGTTTGGTTAAAAGAATGTTTTTAGCTGGAATGAGTCAAAATCTCTTTGCTTTCTTATTTCATATTTACATGACTCACTTCCTTAACAAAACAAAGAAGCCAACAAAGAGTCATTTTAAGAAACTTAGTCATTAAAAATACTACAACAATTCAAATATTAATATCAATAATTCAAACTCATTTCAAATTTAAGCTAAACACATAAGAAGTCTTTTCCAATCTTCGAAAGAACATCTCTTAAGTTCATGATTTTATAACCAATTAAAAGGTCACAAATTATTCAATTAAACCCAATGACAAGGGTATAAATTATATTTCTTGTGTAATTCCCGCCCGCATTAATCTTTAAGGGTTAATTGAATCACACAATT